ACGGATTGCGCTCGGAGCCATCCGCCGGGTGGTGGATGGGTTGTGGGTGAGTGTGCGGGTGACCCACTCAACCCAACAGCAAAACGATCAAAGTCGTTGGCGCTAGAGAGAGGAGAGTGGAGACATTAGATATAAACTCGGACTGCTCCTGGAGTTTGAACCTCAAAACCAACCTTCCAAGTAGAGATCTCCTCTTCTTCCCTTTACTTTTCCCTCTAATTCTTGTGCCTAGATCACCGCTCTTTCCTTTGTGGAATTATTTTCCTTAGTTCCTTGCACCTAATAATCGTCTCAATCTGTAGAAAACTGTTTCATAATAGAATTTCTATCCAATTTAAGAACTAATTCGACATTTTCGCCCTATTTCAACTTCTTGTTTCCCTCGATGATTCTCTTCACCTATTATCATGTCAAGTTGACTCCTTTATATTATATACATTGTGATGTGGGTGAACCCACAAACCCACCCGCAGCATCCACCATCCGCCCGACCCAACCCGAGACTAAATGTGGGTGGGTGGTGGGTTAAAAATGATCAATCTGTTTAAGCGCGGGTGGGTGCATTTTATGGTCAAAATCCACCCGACCCACCCAATGCCCACCCCTAGCTGCCATAATAAACTTACCACTATGATCTCGAACCACCATCCCCAGACCGATTCCCTCATTATCCACTCCTGCGTCAGTATTGATTTTAATCACCCCCTCCACTGGACGTCTCCACTGGTGGTCCATCACAGTGGCAGCCTGAACTTCCTCCCTTCCCTGGTATGATTGATATTCTTCCAAATAGGCCATCGATCTTGAAACTATATCTGCCTCCTCCATCTTCACTCCATTAAAGAGGTGGGCATCGCTTTCTTTCCAGAGAAACCAGAGTAGAACCACCCAGCTCTCAAAATCCTGCTCAGTAGCACTCTCGACCACTTTACGAACCCAATCCATACAATTCAAATCCCCTCTCATCTCAAAACAGTGTGCCACACTTGAAACTCTCCATAATCTGCTCATCCAAGCACAATTACTGAACAAATGTACCTGGTCCTCCCTGAAGTTGCAAAAGGGGCAAGCGTCCCCTCGCATCGGGTTTCGTAAGCTTACGCGATCTCCCGTGGCAAGTGCCCCCCTTGTGAATTTCCACATGAACACCTTAATTTTGGGAGGGAGGTTCATCGACCAGATCCGATTCCACAGAGCTGGTTCACCTACACTTCGGTCTCCCTGTTCTTCTTGGTGTCGCGCCAGCCAGTGTTTGTATCCCTCCCTGGCCGAGTAATTTCCGTCCCTACTTCTTGCCCAAATAAGTCTGTCTGGCTCCTGCGAGTCCCGAAGGGGAATTTGTCGAATAGGCTTTACCATTTCCTCTGAGAAGCAGCTCTCCAGCACTGTATCGTCCCACATCTCCTCCTCTTCATCCATAAGTTCCCGAACGACTGCATCAACCGGGAGTCCCATTGGAGGTGACTGAATAACGTATCCTGGCGTAGTCGGCAGCCAACGATCTCCCCATATCCGCACTGAGGACCCATTCCCTATTCTCCACCTCAGTCCGTCCAGTAAGAATTCCTGAGCACTCATCAAGCTCCTCCACACATAGCTCGGATAGTGACCTACCCTCGCATCCAGGATGGACACATTCTTATGATATTTTGCTTTTAACAGGCGGGCCACAAGGGAATTCGGCCGCTGAAGGAGGTTCCATAATTGACGAGCAAGAAGAGCTTGGTTAAACCCACGGAGATCCCGAAAACCCATTCCCCCTTGAACCTTCGAATAAATCAAAGCTTCTCGGGCAATCCATGGGATCTTTCGCTCCTGCCCCCTTTGCCCCCACCAGAATCTTGTGATTAAGCCATGGATCTCATCAATAATACCATCCGGGACCTTGAAGACAGACATCGTATATGTTAACTGTGCCTGAGCAACCGACTTGATCAACACTTCTCTAGCTGCGGCGGACATTGCCTTTTCCTTCCAACCTGAAAGTTTTTTGCGCACTCGATCCTTCAGGTAAACAAACAGTTCCTTCTTTGATCTACCAACTTGAGTAACTAAACCCAAATATTTGTCATGTTTATCAACTGCCTTCATTCCCAGCATGGAGCTCACAATCAGCCGCTGGTGGGGTTTAACATTTTTACCAAAAGTGACTTCCGACTTCTCAAGGCTCACCAATTGGCCTGATTCCTTCTCATAATCACTCAGCACCCGTCGCAGCTCTCTACTCTCCTGTGCGTTTGCCCGAGCAAAAAAGATCGAATCATCAGCGAAGAAGAGGTGCGATATGACTGGTGCTCCGCGGGCTACTGACAACCCATGAATCTTCTTCTGTCTAACCGCCAGCGATGTGTAACTGGAAAGTCCCTCCGCCACCAACAAGAAGAGGTAGGGGGATAGTGGGTCGCCTTGCCGTAACCCTCTACTCGGTAAGAACGTTTCTGATCGGTGACCGTTGACCAGGAATGCGTATGTCACAGACCTGACGCACATCATGATCAACCGAATCCACCTCTCCGCAAAGCCCATCCGCTGCATCACGCCTTCAAGAAACCACCACTCGACCCTATCATATGCTTTGGTCATATCTGTCTTCGCTGCCAAATAACCCGTCTTATTCTTCGATTTTTTCTTCATAGTATGGAAGCATTCGAACGCTGTCATGACATTGTCAGCTATAAACCGGCCCGGGACAAACGCACTCTGCTCCGGCGAGATAATACCATCCAGAAAAATCTTCAATCTGTTCGCCATTGCTTTCGATAATATCTTATACATAACATTACATAAGCTGATGGGTCTGAATTCCTTCGCCATTGTCGGGTCTTTCACCTTCGGAATGAGAGCAATCAAAGTATGGTTAAGTCCAGCTGGTAAAGACTCAGTCTCCATCACCTCCAGTAGCATATTGGTAACGTCATCCCCTACAATATCCCAGTACTTCAAAAAGAAGAGCACCGACATGCCATCTGCTCCTGGTGCTTTCCTTTTTCCCATTTGGCTAAGGGCTCCATAGAAATCCTCTCGCGTAAACGGCTTCACCAGGCACTTGTTCATCTCCTCAGTAACACAACTTTCGATCGAGTTCAGCACTGGGGTCAGTAGCGGCCGATCACCTGCAGTAAACAACTCAACAAAATAGTTAGTGAGACATGTCGCCACCTCCTCGTTTCCGCACCACCACTGTCCTGCCTCATCCTTGATCTTCCGGATTGTGTTCCTCTTTCGTCGAAGAGAAGCTTTGCGGTGGAAGAAAGTGGTGTTCTTGTCTCCTTCTCTCAACCAGTCTGCCCGTGATCGCTGTTGCCAGAATAGTTCTTCATCACTTTCCACCTCATCCAGCTCCACCTGCAGCTTATTCCGTTGTTGAATAACAATATCCGTCTGCTCCCTTCTTTCTAGTGCTTTCAAAGCTCGTCGGATCCGATCTTTTTGCCTCCGAAAATTTGGGAAAGCGGTCCTACTCCATTGATCCAGCTTCGCCTGTACCTGCACAACTTTTGAGGTAGCATCCCCTCCCGTCATGGTCCAAGCTTCTCGTATTTTTTCCGCACAATCTGCATGTTTTGTCCATAACGGCTCGAAACGGAAAGACCACCCCCATTTAATGTCCTCATCCTCTTCCCCTCTCGAGTCACAAATGATGGGTCTATGGTCCGATCGGGCGTACTCCAGGTGTGTAACACGTCCTGCCGGCCACATAGACCTCCAGTTCTCATTTGCTAGGAAACGATCTAATCTTTCCTCCACATAACCTCCCCTTTGCCACCTGTTCTCCCACGTAAATGGTGGACCATGGTATCCCAAATCTTGCAAGCCCGTCTCCATTAGGCAGTCAGCAAAAGCATTCATCTCATGCTCATTACCCAAGTTTCGACCTCTCTTCTCATGGTCAGCGAGGATCAGGTTGAGATCCCCACCACAAATCCACGGACCCTGCCACCTTCCCGCTAGCTCTCGCACCAAGTCTAAAGTTTTGTGCTTTTCATTCCCTTCAGGCCACCCATATATCCCAGAGAATCGCCAGGTGCCTGCTTGGGTGTCCTCAATCCTCACGTCCATAAAATTAGCTGATCCATCCATAATTGTAGCTTTTACCTCTTCTGTCCACCACACCGAAAGGCCCCCTGCACGGCCCCCTCTTGAGACATCACAAGGCCAACTATCACCATTATCAAAACCCAATTCTTTTCTTAGCACCTCATTCTCGCCACTAAGCTGTTTGGTCTCCGTCAGAAAGACCAAATGGGGGGAAATTCGTCGCAGAAGCGACTTCAAATCTCTAACTGCTCGTGTATTTTCCAGACCACGGCAGTTATAGCAAAGCAGCCTCATTTAACAACCGAAGGGGATCGGTTCCCCGCACCATCAGCTCTTTGTGTATTTTCCCCACTCGAATCTTTTCGACTTCCTGGACCTGTGTTACTTTCTCCCTTCTTCTGTTCAAACTTCTTTACATCATCACTTTTTCCTTTGGACTTACCCATACTCCCATGTTGGACCTGAGCACCCTGCCCCCTTCTCACCTCAGGACCCTTTCGGCCCCCAGCTCCCTCCTTTGCCCCTATCGCTTGCTTGCTTGACGTCAATCCATTCGGGGAGCTTTGGACCTGAATTCCCACCGGGGTCTGTGTTGCATGCGTCTCTGCATGGGACTCTTCACGTACCTCATTATCTTCTCTCTCCACATTCTCCTCTTCCCTTCCCTTGTTTCCCTTATCGGCCTCCTTCTCCACTTCCCCACTCATCGTTTGGGTTGACTCCGTTGCCAACTTTTGGAATCTATTTGTGCCTGACTCATCTTTCCTTATTCCCCTTCCCTCCTCCTTCCTCCGATCAAATCCTCTCCCCCGCCGTTTAACAATCATCCAGTCACCATATGTTTGTCCATGCGTGGGATCCTCCTTAACCTCCGGTTCCACCTCCCTGTTGCCTTCCATATCCATCTCATTACTCAGCTTTGCACAATGACATGTCCCAACCCTCTTCCCGTACGTCCCACATCAGGTACAGAGATCATCCAAGCCCTCATATTGGACCAGATATGTGACTCCCTCAATCTTAAATTGTGATAGCAGCGACTGCGTTAGGTCAACTTCAACAAATACCCTTGCATACTTTCCTCGGGCACCTAGTTCAGTCGCTCTATCCACACGTACCGGTCTTCCCAGCCATTCAGCAATCTTCATCACGGCTTCCTTGTTGATGAACTCAATCGGCAGCTCAGGCAATTGAGCCCACACCATTGTTGATGTCACCACAGTTTTCCACGGGTTAAAACCCTTAAACCATCTATGAACCGTCAAGTAGGTATCTCCCAGTAGCCATGGTCCACCCATCGTCGCCCATTCATAGTCCTTCTGGCTACGAAAACGTACTAAAAAACATCCGTTCCTCATGTCCGAGATCTGTACCTCTCCATGTCTAGCCCATATTGCATTCAGTCGGCGAGCCAACGTCATATAGGAGACTCTTCTACCTAAACCCTTCACCACCAGTGCCGAACGCCACTCTCGGCGCCACTTAGACTTTTCCGCCGCGGTAAAAAGAATTGTCGGGCATTTTGGGTCCTCTTTCTCCTCTCCTATCTCATCATCTTCTTCCTTATCTCTTGCCATCACATCCTCAGAGTCCGAATCAGCTACATACCAATGATCTTGCTGCAGTATATCACTAAAGCTCATCCCCTTCCTCTCCTGCCATGGCGATTTTGTTGCTTTCCCGTCTTGTTCCGTATCCATCTCCTCCGCCGTTATGTCCTCAACTTCCACTGTCTCCCCCGCAAAGTTGAGCGCCCGAACCTTCTTCTTTGGTTGGACCGTCTCTCTGGCACTCTTACCATCCGGGGTAGAGGAAGCTTCAGCAGGACGCCTTTGCCCACTCGAAACTTCCGGGGGCTTACCCGCCACAGCCGGCGACGTTGGCCGCTTAGCCGTCGTCATGCAGAACCTGGAAACCCTAGCACGCTTGCTTTCGAGATTTGGGAAAACCTCCGAAGTTCTCAACGTATTAGAAGTATCATTAGTTCAGATATTTCCTTCTGTGACTTCGCTTGTAGATGTTCTTCGGGCGGGAGGGAGAGTGTATTATTTTTGCTGTAAAACTGAAGCTAAAGGTGGAAACTGGGGATGGTAAGTTTATATAACTTGGTTTATGTTCAATGTTAATATTTTTTACACACGTGCATTTTTTGCGTATTATGATGGTATAAAATTGAATAAGATTGATATAATAGTTTAATAAGTCTGTAGAATAGGAATGTGCCCTATAAATTATGGTGGTACATTAGTTAGTCGTGTATGACAGTGTAGACTGAACGATATTTGTATAGTTTAATAACTCGGTCAAATAGGAACGTGAACCATGAATACGTGAACGTGACTCGTGAATACGTGATTGTGACTATATCTTTGATTTTCTTTATTTGGACATATATCAAAATGGCTATTGCTATCTAGTCACATAGAATCTTATTTTTCTGCACAAATATATAAATTAGATTTGAAACGAAAGAAACATGGATCGATTAAAAATGATAGGAAAACTGGAAAGAAGAGAGAGAGTGTGCTAAGTAACGCTTTCTAATTGGACCAATGAAATCCTAAAAAATCTTTAATTAAAATCAAACTTCTCTTTCAATTTAGATCATTGAGAGTTGTCTTGTCCACGGGCTTTCAAGACTTCCAATACTCAATTACTTTTTCCTATTAAAAAGGGGCAACAATATTGAATCTTACACTTTCAACTTAAGTATGGTGACAATAGTGAATAGCATACTTACACCAAAATACATAGGGAAGACATATTTCTTTATGAACCCCTTGGTGACTGCCTGAAGATTGAGATAGTGTCTGTATGCTTCAAATACAAGTTTATTGACCCAAGTTACACGCTTCAATGACAGAAACTGGTAGGGATGGCAATTTCGACATGATCCATTTTATCCGACCTGTTTGGTATATTTTGGGGCGGGTCCGACCCACCCTGTAGGCGGGGCGGGCATGATACTCTCATCGACCCGACCTGCCCGACCCATCCCATTCTCGACATGTTCTTGCCTAAATTACATGTAATTTTAGCCAAATTACTTAGGATTTTTCTTTTATTACATTATATTTTAGCTATAATAAAGTTATAAATTAGTGAAAACCTCAATTTCTCCGGTAAGTTAACAACATTTATCATAATATTGTTTGTTTTCTTGGTCTTATAATAAAAATAATGAATATTTCTAATGCTTTCCATATAAATTGCATACCCATTGGGTCGATCTACCCCGGCCCACGACCCGTGAAAAATTACCCGACCTACCACGGGGCAGGTCTGGGTACCAAGAAACCCGCCCCGGACATGCCCCATTGCCATGCTTAGAAACTGATATCGGGCGAGCTTATAGTATGTAGTTTCCATAACGTAGCAAGAACTACAAAACATAAATGTCAACAGGGTTAGTAGTTCTTGTCTCAACATTGCACATGAAACTAAGTACAGTTTGAGGACTTACTCGTTTACGTCGGTGGAGCTGAGGACGTACTCAACCATGAAACCGATGCACCGGGTCGAGCTTCATGGATACACACTTGGTCAAGTCGTAGAACAAGGTTGCAAGCGGGTGCCTCCTCGATCTCTGGTACAAAGGAGTCTTCATTTGTGAACACCTCTTTGTAGGTGTCAGCGGTACCAAGTCGTCATCAGAATCAACTATTTTCTCCATATACTCTTCGGATGTGTTCTCCTCACCAGCCTTCTCCACAGTTGGCTCCATAATGTCTTCAGCTGTCTTCTCCACACCCGTTTTATCCACAGTTGGCTCTGCAACATGTTCAGTTGTCTTCTACTCACCCGTTCTCTACAGAGTTGACACAATCTCATCATCTGAATCCTCATTTGTCCCATCTGGAACATAATTCTCATCAATAGGCTCGATCTTCTCCTCAACAGTCTCCTTCACATCCTGCTCAACAGTATGTTTGACCCTCTCTTCAACAGTCTCCATAATGGTTGGATGATGTTTTCTTTGGGATACGTGAGTGTAACCTTCACGTACATGCTGACTCACCATAATGTCTTCAGCCTCATCCACATCGTTCTCATTTCCTCGACAACCATGTCAATTTCCTTCATGTCAATCATCAATTCCAAGAGTTTGGACAAGTCCATCTTTAGCTGGAAAACCACAAATGTAGGAATAAAAATGAAAGAGAATGTCATGTGATACACATGAAGCAATATTCAGTACAAACAATTGTCAACATAAAAATGAATAGTATTAAGTCTAAAGCCATTCCAACATGGCAATTCATACAATTGAGACAAGTTAAAACTATAATTCATGACATAGAAAACAAAACCAAAAACCAACTAGAGAATCTATTACAACTAGCTACGAAAATCTATTACAAATATCATTTTCATATGTTCCCTTGCTCGCACAAAATGGCCTCCCACTGTTGGACCTTTGCCCGCCTTGATCCTCACAAACTCAACATGTTGTCAGTGATGGACTTCAACATCTTAAACTACACACATGTTACAAACCATTTTGTTCACTCTACCCAACACACCTACCAACCCACCACCTTAAGCTAGAGAGAAGATAGTTATATACATGTTGTAAATCAAGATGCTCAAAATCGGCTTTGCCCTTATTGAAAAACCAATCCGTCTCATTGACAACTGGTGGTGTCTGTTGGAACCCAAATATGAATCTCACTTCGGCCCTCATCCTAAGCAAGGCAGCTATCCCACCATTCTCCTCACTGAGGACAACTTCTACTAACTTGGCCTCCTTCTATTTGAACCAGTAGCTGTAACTCAGAGGTGGAGGTGCCTAGATCTCTCACTCTAATGAAGTCCAACAAATGAACTTACCAAAAAACAGTCAATTCACTAACGTTAAGTATATATAAAACAACTCATACTAGTATAGTAGTATTCAATTACACAAGATTTGAATTCAACTAACTTAAAGTTGTATTTAATTGTGCCAGACTAGTATTCAACTATGCCAGATTTGAATTCAACTAACTCATACTTGTATTTAACTATGTCAGACTAGTATTCAGCTATGCCAGATTAGTATTCAACTATGCCAGATTTGAATTCAGCTAACTTAGACTTGTCTTTAACTATGCCATACTATATTCACCTAAGCCATATTTGAATTCAACAAACAAACTTGTCTTCAATTCGTAAGATTACTTACTATCATGAAGTGGATATCCCCAAGAACACACATAGGGTCACCTATTTCCTTATAGCCCGCCAGTGCCACCTTAAGGTCCTTCACTACAAGACGGCTCCAATTATACATCCTAATGTCCTCCATCCTCCTAGCCACGATTAGAGCATAGTTAAGATAACATGACCCTGACCAATTCAGATTGATAAAAAAACCAAGGGCTAGCAGAATGAACTCCTTCACAACACTCTCAACAGTAGGTCTCGACACTTTTACAGTAGTTGTTGCAGTCTCCATCTTCAAACACACGTTGTGGCACCACCGATTTCCCGACAATGTATGTTTGAATATTGTATTTCATGCCCATCAACAGGAAGCTCATATACACAGTCCACACACTCATCTTCCAGGGTCACCACCCTCTGGTTCTCTCCTTCACAAAAAATGAAGGTGGTAGAAGTGGGGTCGTAGTTGTCCAACAAGGAACCCAATAATGTCATGTCAAATACCTTCATGCGAAGGTCCAATAGGTCATCAAACCCAACCTTCTGCAGCTCCCGCCTACAAGCAGCGTAGTACTCTTATCCTTATTCTAAGAGGTTATAACCTTCAAGTGAGATGTGGTGTGGCAACTACTTTTGTGGTTCCCATGTCGCCCCCCCTCCCCCCATCAACTTCATATTCTTCTGCTCCTCCTGCTTAAGGTGCTTTTTCTTCTTCTTCTACGTAGGTCTTAGATGGCCATTCTTCATATGTTTCACGACATCTCTTGTCTGGTCTCTTAACACACTTTAACTGGAGACATACTTCAAAAGAGCTAAAAATACTAAGAAACTATTATTTAGAGTTCACGAACTGGTATTCAACATATGAACAACTAATATTGAAGGTCTATGAAACAATTGATATCCAACATAAACAAACTAGCATTAAGAGTTCACGAACTGGTATTCAACATATAAACAACTAATATTGAAGGTCTAAGAAATAACTAATATCCAACATCAGACAAACTAGTATTCAACATTCACGAATTGGTATATAACATCAAACAACTAATACTGAAGGTCTACGAAACAACTAAAGTCCAACATCAACAAACTAGTATTTAACATTGGCGAACTGGTATCCAACATTAAACAACTAATACTGAAGGTCTACAAAATAACTAATATCCAACATCGGCAAACCAGTATTTGACATTCACGAACTGGTGTCCAACATCAAACAACCAATAATGAAGGTCTACGAAACAACTGATATCCAACATCGACAAAATAGTATTCAACATTCACGAACCGGTATTTAACAGTAACACGGAACCAAGAAACCCAGTACCAAAACCCCACAAATTTATACCCATGTGCTCACTAATCCATTTTCATGGCAACAATCTACCCCAAAAAACAAACAAAACCCATAAATCCAGTGACATGC